CCTTGGCACACACAGGCTCCCTGTTTATTCCCATTGTTCATTTGCTTGTGGTGGGACCCTCCATGTTCCAGCAATTTTGCAAGCATTTGCGAGAGTGCTGGTCTTTACCTCAAGTTGCTCATGGTCTGGGATCCTGTGCACACCCCATCAGCACTTTGGAGGCCTCAAAAATGAAAAATAATGACAAGGCTCTTGATTCCCATTGAGTTTTATTCACACTACAGCTATGCTAAGGCCTCTCAGTACCCATCTGGGTGCCAAGGCTGCAGGAGACTCGAACATAGAGCAAAGTGACAGTCCCTGCCCTGAGGTCCTTCCCATCAAGACAAAAAGACTGTAGATGGGGACTGACAGGCAGGCAGGGACCACATCGGGGGTCAGCCTGACAGGCAGGAGCCTCTGCTGGGTGTCAGAGAAATAGGAACCAATGTCAGGCTTGACTGAGAAATCAGAGACTGCATCCCATGAAGAAGGCATGCTTACACATGCTAAATCATTTGCTCGTTGGGGGAGGCAAGGAATGGGCAAGGAATGAAACCCAGTCTGATCTCTCTAACTCCCTAGTCTATCACCCCAGCCACATACCTACTCCAGCCATTGCACTGCTGGGTTCACAGGGCAGTAAACAATGGCTTGATGGCAAGATGGCAGCCAGTATCAAGTGGAGTGCCCCAGAGTTAGGTCCTGGGGCTGGTTTTGTTCAATATCTTCATCAACAACCTAGAAGATAAGATGCAGTGCAACCTCAGCAAGTTTGTAAGTGACACCAAGCTGTGGGGAGTAGTAGATACGCTGGAGGGAAGGGCTAAGATTCAGATAGACCTTAACAAACTGGAGGATTGGGCCAAAAGAAATCTCATGAGGTTCAACAAAGACAGGTGCAAAGGCCTGCACTGAGGATGGAACAAGCCCATGCACCCAGGGCCAGATTAATGCATGGGCAAACTAGACACATGCCTAGGGCCCTGAGCTGTGGGGGCCCCAGTCCTTCCCTCAATGGGGGTGGCTTGAATGGCCCCATCCACCTCCCTTCCCTTCCCTTTTTTTCCCTTCCTTCCCCTCTCCTCTGTTGGTCTCACCGTGGCGTTGGCTGCTTCCTAGCAGTGGCTTTGAGCCCTGCTCCCCATGGGTGGCAGCACCAGGGAGAGGAGGGGAGTCTCAACCAGCCCAGGGCCCAGGATTTTGTTTTCCTATGGCCCACTAAGTGTTAATCCAGCCCTGTGTGCACTGATACAACCTGGGAGCTGACTGGCTGGGGAGCAGATCAGTAGAAAAAAAAACTAAGCATTGCGATGGACAATAAGCTGAATAGGAGTCAGCAGTGTGCCCTGGTTGCCAAGAAAGCTAACGGCATCCTGGGCTGTATTGGTAGAAGCATTGCCAGCAGATGGAGGGAAGTGATTCTTCCCCTCTGTTCAGCACTGGGAAGGCCACATCTGGAATCCTGTGTCCAGTTGTGGGCCCCCTGCTACAGAAAGGATGTGGACACATTGGAGAGAGTCTAGCGGAGGACAACAGAAATGGTTGGTGGGCTGGAGGACATGACTTGTGAGGAGAGACTAAGGGAACTGAGCTGATTCAGTCTGCGGAAGAGAAGACTGAAGGGGATTTGATAGCAGCCTTCAACTTCCTGCAGGGGGTTGCAAAGAGGATGGAGCTGGACTGGTCTCAGTGGGGGCAGATCACGGAACAAGGAGCAATGGACTCGAGCTGCAGCAAGGGAAGTTGAAGTTAGATATTAGAAAAAACTTTCCCACAAGGAGGGTGGTGGAGCACTGGAACAGGTTACCCAGAGAGGTGGTGGAGTCTCCATCTTTGGAGGTTTTGAAGACCCGTGTAGACAAAGCCTTGGATGGGATGATGTAGTTGGGGCTGGTCCTGCTTTGAGTATGTGGTTGAACTAGATGTGACCTCCTGAGGTCCCTTCAACCCTCATTTTCTATGATTCTGTGATCTGACAATCACTCTCAGATGGCATTCAGGCGAGGGAGGCAGTGGTCATGAGGGATCTACATTACCTGGACATCTGCTGGGAGGAGCAGACAGCCAAACCAAGCTGCTCATGTAGGTTCTTACATTGTGTGCAGGACCTCCACCTCACCCAGCTAGTGGCCTGTCCCACCAGGGGCAACGCCTTGCTAGACCTGGTCTTAGCAACAGGGGATGACCTTGTGGGGAACCTGCGAGTACACAGTAACCTGGGAGATAGTGACCATCACTTTGTAGAGTTTACTATCCAGTGAAGAGTGGGAAAAATATGCAGTGAGGCTAAAGTGTTAGACTTCAGAAGGGCCAACTTTAGTAAACATAGAAGGCTAGTTAGTGAGGTGGCAGAACTCAAGAGCATCGAGCAAATGGGGGTCCAGGAGGGTTGGAGGTTTCCCAAGGGGGTGATCCTTGGGGCACAAAAGGAGTCTATCCCCTTATGTTGAAAAGGGGGTAAGGGGATAAAAAAAAGCCCCCTTGGCTGAACAGGGAACTCCAGGAAACCCTGGGGGCAAAGAAATAAATTTATAGGCAGTCGAAGTGGGGGGCAGCCCCCAAGGAGGAATACACCTCCCTGGCATGCTATTGCAGGGTATCAGTTAGGCAGGCCAAGGCAGGACTGGAGCTTAGGCTGGCTACAACAATTAAGGACAATAAAAAGTCCTTCTACAGATACATAGCAAGCAAAAGGAAAGTGCAGAGTAACATAGGGCCCCTGCAGGACAAATCAGGGCAGCTCTTGGTTGATGCAAGGAAAAAGGTGGTGCTCTTTAATGAGTTATTTGCCTCAGTATTCCTAAGTACTGACCAAGACAATTCCCCCACCTTGAGCACAGACCTCAAGAGGCACCAGACTTCCAAAGGTTAGAGCTGACTTAGTTAAGGAGCAGTTGGAAGGGCTGGACGGATACAAGTCAGCCAGCCCGGATGACCTCCATCCAAGGGTACTGAAGGAATTGGCCAGTGTCATAGCTGAGCCACTGGCACAGCTGTTTGAGCACTCATGGTGCTCCAGCGAGGTCACTGAGGACTGAAAAAGGGCCAATGCGGTGCCCATTTTTAAGAAGGGGAGAAGGGATGAGCTGGGTACCTTTAGGCCAGTCAGTCTTACCTCTATCCCTGGGAAAATACTGGAAAAAATCATCAAAGAGTGCATTTGTGAAGGCCCAGCGGGGGAAATGATGCTGAAAGGAAACCAACATGGGTTCATCACAGGTAGATCCTGCCTGACAAACCTTATAGCCTTTTATGACCAGATCACACAATGCTTGACACAGAAGCTGAGGCTGATGTCATCTACCTAGATTTTAGGAAGGTCTTCAACACAGTTTCGTATCCTATTCTCATAGGGAAGCTAGCAGGCTGTGGAGTAGATGCCTATACAGTGAGGTGGGTGGCCAACTGGCTTAGGGACCACACCCAGAGAGTGGTGGTGGATGGGTTGTTCTGCGCCTGGAAGCAGGTGGGCAGTGGTGTCCCACAGGGGTCGGTCCTTGGACCGGTGTTATTTAATATCTTCATCAGCGATTTGGACAAGGGTGTGGAGAGCACCTTCTCCAAGTTCACAGATGACACCAAGTTATGGGGCAAAGTTAACACACCAGAGAGCAGGGAGTAGATACAGGCCAATCTGGACAGGTTGAATCAATGGGCAGAATGTAATAGGATGCAATTCAACAAAGATAAATGCAAGGTACTCCACCCAGGGAGGAAGAATCCCCAGCACACCTATAGGATGGGGGATGACCTCCTCAGCATCTCAGCAGCTGAGAGGGATCTTGGAGTCATAGTTGACTCCAAGATGAACATGAGCCGGCAGTATAATGAGGCCATCAACAAGGCCAATCGCAACTTGTCATGAATTACCAGATGCATGACCAACAGATCAAGGGACGTGATGCTCCCCCTCTATGCAGCATTGGTCAGGCTGCAGTTGGAGTACTGTGTCCAGTTTTGGGTGCCGCACTTCAAGAGGGACACAGAGAATCTGGAGAGGGTCCAGAGGAGGGCCACTAACATGATTAGTGGCCTTAGTGATAGACCCTACGAGGGGAGGTTGAGAGATCTGGATCTATTCAGCCTTCACAAGAGACTTCTGAGGGGAGGCCTTGTAGCCACCTATAAGTTTATTAAGGGAAGACAACAGGAAATTGGAGATACGCTATTTTCCAGAGTGCCTCTAGGAGTAAGTAGGAATAATGGGTGCAAACTAGTGGAGAGTAGATTTAGGTTAGATATTAGGAAGAATTTATTTATAGTAAGGGTGGCCAGAATCTGGAATGGGCTTCCAAGAGAGGTGGTACTATCACCTAACTTGGAGGTCTTCAAGAGGAGGCTTGTTAGTCACCTGGCTGGGATCATCTGACTTCGGTCCTCTTTCCTCCCAGGTACAGGGGGTCGGCCACGATGATCCTTTGTGGTCCCTTCTGACTCTACAGTCTATGAATATATGAACCTCAGCGACAGTAATTAGCCTGACAGACATTTACTGTAGGCTCCAACTGCAATACACTGTTTTGCAGGGACTTGAACAGGGTGGAATAGGATCAAACTTAGGCACCTCATTAGATGAAATAGGATGTGGCCTAACATGTCTACCTGTGCTTAACCGGCCTTTACCCTGGTTTAACTCACTTGGATCTGGTGTAGAATTACCCTGGGCAAAATCAATGGTCACACTGTGACTGTAAATTACACCAGTGTAGAAGTTGTGTGTCCTCAGCTTACCCTGGGGTAGCTGTCTGCTCCAGGAAGAAAGGTGGCATGCTCCCCACTGCCTAGTGTTAAGGTGTTTTAATAGCACCCTCTGCATGCAGCTGCCCTGGTACAGATGGTCATGTGTTCACTCTAGACCTTGTGGTACTTTTCATGAGAGTACAAGGTCAAGGCAAATTACACTGGCACAAATATGCCATGTGTCTGGACCTTACGTGACTTGCCCAAGGCTGTGTGGGATTGCCTGAATTGCAGCAGAGCACAAAATGCTGGTTTCTCCTCTCTGTGCCCTACAGGGCTCAGCTCCGTGGGCGACAGCACATCTGAACCACTTTGTCACGGATTTGTTTCATCTTCATGCCATAGATGATAGGGTTGAACATGGGTGGTATCAGGAGGTACAGATCAGCCATCAAGACCTGGACATGGGGTGGGATGTCCTGCCCATACCTCTCGATGTACATGGAGAGCAGCCCTGGGATGTAGAACAGAGCTATGACACAGACATGGGAAGCACAGGTGCTGAAGGTCTTGTGGCGTGCCTCGGCAGAGGAGAGGCCTAGCACGGCTTTGAGGATCAACCCGTAGGACAGGGCAATGAGCAGGGAGTCAACACCACCCACATAGGTGGAGACCAAAATGCTGTAGGTGGTGCCAAGTGCCGTGTCCCCACAGGCCAACTTAATCACTGCCATGTGCTCACAATAGGAGTGGGAAATCGCTGAATCCTGGCAGAATGGGTAGCCCCGGAGGATGCAGGTCAGTGGGGTCATGAGTGCCAGACCTCTTCCCAGCATCACCAGCCCAATGGCAGCGATGACTGGGCTGGTGAGGATGACCTTGTACCTCAGAGGGTGGCATATGGCCACGTAGCGGTCAAAAGCCATGGCGACCAGCAAACCTGACTCCATCACTGAGAAGGCATGGACAAAGTACATCTGGGCCAGGCAAGCATCCACACTGATGGCCGTGGAGTGGAGCCAGAAGATGCCCAGCATATTGGGAGTGATGGAGGTGGACATCACCAGGTCAACGAGAGCCAGCATGGACAGGAAGAGGTACATGGGCAGGTGGAGGCTGGGCTCTCTCTTGATCACCCACAAAAGGGTGCAGTTCCCCACCAGCGTGACCACGTACATGAAGCAGAAGGGGATGGAGATCCAGACATGCAGGGCTTCCAGCCCTGGGATGCCAATCAGGTGCAGTTCTGACAGCGTGACATTGGTGTGGTTGGAACTGGGCATAGTGGGAGCCAGCACCCATCAGCCAAGGCTGCTCTCTCTGCATTGAGACATACAAATGATAGAACTTGCAAGGTGGAAACTGTATTCCAGATCTAAGGGTGAATGATCTATTCAGCCAGCCAGCCATCTGCACAGCCACCCACCCATCCACTCACCCATCCATCCACCCATCCAATCCACATGAGCAAGGCGTCACTTCCACCCACATAGGTGGAGATTGAGATGCTGTCAGCGGTGCTGAAAGCCATGTCCCTGCAGGCCAGTTTGATCACTACCACATGCAGCAATAGCCCTTCCACCCACTTTCTCTTTTTTCTCTCTTCCCATCTCCACGCATCTTTTACACACACACACACACACACACACCCATAGGACTCTGAGGGACCCCACGGATCACCAGATCCCACCCCCTGTTATCATGGCCAACCACATCATTTTGCTAAGCTAAATAAGCCAAGATCATTTGGTCTTCTGGAAAATAGATGCATCCTTCTTCTGCTTATTCTAGTTGCCCTTGCTGCCCTTCTTCTTACCTCAATTCATCTGTTTTAAGCGTAGGCACCAGCACTGCGTTAAGAGGTCTCACTGATTCCTTGTACAGGAGTGCAAACACTTCCCTTTCTCTGCTGGATACCTCACCTGGCTCATCCTAGGATGACAATAAGGTTTTTTTTCATGGTGTGTTACACTGGTGGCTCGAAGCCATCCTACAAACAACTGTAGCATTCTTTCTTCTTCCTTTCTTCTCTGTTGTTTCTAACTCAGAGAAGAAATTCTTAACACCAGTCCCTTGCTTTATGACATTGCCCTCTGTACTATTCAACTACATCCTGTTACTATTACTCCCCTCTTAACCAGTATCCAGTTCTTCCTGTTGGGTATTCCAGTTTCCCCTTTGTATTGACAAAGCATCCCAACATTGTAACATCAGCCATTTCATTGGCACACTATTATGGCATAAGGAAGCCCTTACATAAGATCAGACCCAAAAACTAATCTCAGCCTAATTTCATCTCACTTTTGGCCAGTTCCACACCCACCTCTCAGCTCTTCCATTAATCTCCTTCCTCTTCAGTGGAGTTAATCATTTTCCATGTATCGCTGTATCAATGGCTTTACTGAAGCCCAGGTTGACTGGATCTATTGCATTTCCTTTGTCTAAAAAATCAGTGACCAAAGAATGACTTTAGGTTAGTACTGGCAGACCCACACTGTATTTTATCCCATTTTTCATTTGCCGCCACATCTTTAATTTCCCTTTTCTCCAAAATTAGTTCTAAACCCATGCAGGCTATTGTGATCAGGATAGTAAGTGTAGTTGCCAGAGCTACTTATTTCCTCTCGTTTTAAGCCCTCCCCTGTGGCAGCACCCCTAACTGGATAGATTTATGAAGCCAATGGACATTGCTATTTCAATCTGGCAGCGAGAGACCAAGATAACCCTACAGAACACATCGCATAACTTTATAAAGGACTAAACCTGAAGACTGATTGCTTTTCCATAGGGAATCCCCCAGTTTCCAGATGAACTAAAAAAGTGATCTGAGAAACCTAGTCTCAATGTTTCTTCATCTTGGCTGGGATGGAAAAATTTCTGCATAGAATGAATATCAGATAATAAGCAAAGGATAAAGGCCAAGTATTGAGTTGGTTGGAGACGGCTGAGGTTTGAAGGGATAGGCAATAGCTAGCAAGGTGCATTTGGTTCTGGCATGCACACCCGGCAGGGAGGTGCTGGACCTTAACTGTACAACTGGGGCTCTCCCCTCTCCTAAAGATTACCTCCAAGAAGGTAGAAAACTGAGAAACTGCGGGGAGCCCAGAGAAGATAAACAATGATAATTTAGGTCCAGACAGGTGTGCCTGATTAATAAGGGATGTGGGACAGAGTGGCTTAAGTGTCCTGTATCTGCTCCAGACGTGTAAGTTCAAGCCTCCACGAGCGAAGGCTGAGGGGGGATCTAGTGGCCTGTTACAAACTAGTCAGAGGGGACCAGCAG